CGCCTTGGGATTTAGTTTTTTGGAACGGCTCGGAGCTTCAATTTCAGGATAAGTTTATTTGTGTGTTTGGGGGAGATGGAGTATTTTTGGTTTCTTGTGAGGAGGATACACGAGAGCCAAGATATAGAGAGAGAAAAACATATTTTTTTTTCTTGTTTTATAGTTGAGTGTAGAAGGAATAGGATTATCATGCTTCCCGATATTCATGCAAGAGAGTAAATCATCATTAATTATGTGTGTAGTGGGTAGTTGTTTAAGAAAACGTATTTATAATTAAAAGTTTTTGACTCCGTATTAATAATAATATTTAACAAACCATAGTAACGTGAGTAAATTTCTCGTATAGCAATAGCATAGATTTCACAAGTGGATCTAAATTTGGGCTCCAAAAGGAATAACACATAAAAAAGGCCCATATCCGCAGCCCATCGTCTCCAGCTCCTAAACTACCAAAATGAAATGAAAAAAAACCAGCAATACAATTTTATCTAACTCACAAAAGATGAAAAACACCACACCTTTTTTATCTCTTTGCAAAAGGTGAAGAAAATGGCAGAAAATGAGTTAATATGGAAGAACACTGCTCTTCTTGTAATTGATATGCAGGTATGTGTGTATGTATGTATGTTCTTCACTATCGAATTTACTTCAGTTACTATTATTTCTTTGTTTCCGCTTATCTGAATTTTTTTTTTTCTATTATTTATTTATTTTTTGCAGAAAGATTTTATTTTGCCTGGTGGTCCGATGCACGTGAAAGGTGGTGAAGCCATTGTTCCCAGTGTAATCAAGGCAGTCGAATTAGCTCGACTTCGTAAAATTCCTATTGTTTGGGTCAGTAATTCTATGGAGTGATCGGATGGTTGGTTCTCTTATGGAGTCATCCCATAACTTTATGTATGACACATGTCCATTGTGCATTTATTGCAGGATACGTGTTGGATGGCTCCATAAGCCGAGCCATCCGATACCCTTTTAAATTTGTCTTTTACTTGCCCTGTGTGTGTTATTCGACTGTTGTTGTTTATGAAGGTTTTGCTACAAATGTTTTGGTTGTTATGGTTATTTTGTATGATTTTGGGATCACTCTGTACTGATACCAACCAGAGAATTGAGAAAAGAGATTGATTTTGTAAGGCCTTTTTTTTTTTTATGAATTTGTGAAATGGGACTTATTTTCTTGCTAATATTGGTGGGTTGTTGCTTTTATTTTTCTGCTTGGATAACCTAATTTACCAAACAAAAAAAGTTTAATTTTTTTCATAATCTCATATAAGCCCTTGATAAATGCTTCAATTTTTACATATTACATCCATTTGTGGATGTAAGAATGTCTGCTACTTTTCGAAAATGTAGGGAATGTGTTGAGAAATGGAACTTTTTGTGGCCTCTGAAGCTTTGAGCTTACGGAAATTTAGAAGTTAGACATTAAGTACGAGCGAGTGTTTGTAGGTTGTTCGTGAGCACGATCCTTTGGGGAGAGATGTTGAGTTATTTCGCCGCCATTTGTATTTGGCAGACAAACCAAAACCAACTTGCAAGGGTAGTGTCGGTGCACAGTTGGTTGACGGCCTAGTGATCAAAGATGGTGATTACAAGCTCGTGAAGTCGAGGTTTAGTGCGTTT